GAATAATTACTTACGGAACCACCTGCGACGACTGGAACAAAAGCACTGTTATCGCAGCCATTGCGCTTAAAGTTATACTCCAAGAAAGCAGTCAGGTCCTTTTCCATGGAGAAGGTCTGCCTCATAGACTCTGTGAACGCTCTTCCAGATGCCTGTCCAACACGACGCAATTGCACGACCTCGTCCTCACTCTTGAAGACTCTCATTTCATTAAGGATGGAGCGCAAAGGCTTGACCTTGCGGTGGTCGACAATCTTCTTGAGCTTTTCGGAAGCTCCCGTAGGACCGTAGAGGTACCGATGCAGAGATGACCTTCCGGGGTTGAAAGCGGGAATGTCGGTGTAGATTTCTGTCGCATCCGCAAGGATCTTAGGAAGAAGGTCCCCAATGCGTTCGATGTCACCGGACTACCAGCGCAGTGTCAGTTGCGATCAATGAAGAGTCACAAAGTAATATCTCACTTCATCCGCATTGAAGACATCAATCGCCGCGCGGGTACCTGAGCGGGCACCGTCCCAAAGTTCGGCTTTCGCATCCTTCTCCCTGCAATAAAGGTGGAAGAGGTGGTTGTTCCCGGATCCGTCGTTCGCTGCTTTTTATGAGCGCCAATTCCCAAGCCGAATGTCGTAGTTAGAGCTCACCGATGACAGCCAGCGCATTAGGTTCGTTAAACCCTATCCATACAGAGCTATGTCAGCGATATGTTGCCTGTAAACAAGGACACCAGGTACCACCTACCGGTCAAGTAGAAGAAATTCGAGTCCTGTCGATATTCATTGAAGATGCCCGAAGCCCGGTACGTAACCTCAGCAGCAGCCAGCACCGCGACGGCATACTTGGGTAGTTTGTTCGCGAGACGAGATCGGCGCTGGGCGTACTCGAGAGCCGTTATTCCGGGTGTCACTTTAAGATGCGTTAATACCGTATATAATATGCGTCATTGGAATCCGCGGGGACTGAAGTGATGTTACGCACGCTCTCCCGGCTCCAATATATGGGGGTGTGTCTCGTGTAGCGGCTGGCCGAATTTGAGCTCCGCGGCGGAGATCGAAGCGTAAGTACGGCGAAGAGCAGGCTGTTGGAGCACCGGCCGACTAAGATGCGAGAGGGGGATTCGAGGTGCCTGGCGACGAAGGTAACGAGGCCATTGGCGAATGGCTGCTTTGCATGTCGACATCGTTATAGCAGCACCATTGAAGGTGTTGGCAAGCTTTGTCGAAATAAAGACTGGCTATCTGGCCCGCGTTTGGTTCGGAAGGTCGGCGGTGATTGCGAGACCTCCGAGCGTCCCTTGGTTTAGCCCGTTCGCTGGATGCCTCAGGCTGGCAGCCCCGGTCGGCGGCAGTGACCAATCAACGCTGAGGGGTTTGCGATAGACTCGCATACTCCGCTTGTCTGGATAGGCTGGAAACTGCGATTCCTTCCCACCTTCTTTCTTATCTCGGTCTTGTACAGCGTACCACAACCACGAGATGTCGGAGGAGTTTGGGCCAGTACAGTACGATCCCAAGGGTTGGGTTGTTTTTCGATGGGATTACTCGATGACTCAAGTTGGTCTTTGAGTCACGTCAATGAGATGCCAAGGTGGAGTACAAAATATATATAGTAGAAGCAAACTTCATTAAAGATCTAAGCACAATTCGTTACTCACTCGAGTGCTCCATTACTTTTATGCTAGACGGAATTTAGTAGTCAGTTATTCATTGTATATATTGTTCGATTCGTCAAATTCAAAAATGGGAAGGACCTTAAAATACCCCAAGCGGCCCTCGAACACGGTCAACCGCTACAAGCATCGAGGTATACTTCACTTCACTCCCTAACTTTGCGTCGAAGGAATTTACTAAGAGTACCACAGCAACTTATGACCTGGGCGCCATTCATGAAATCATCAACTCCACCCAAGTTCTCCATGTATCCTTCAGCCCCGGACCATCGGAGCCCTTCCCTGCAATCCTGCCTATGATCGGACAAATGGGATCATTCGACTACCCTTCAGCAAGCATCGACGAACCTCTTGACTGTTATCTTCATGGCTATGTCAGCTCCCGCATCATGAACCTGGCTCGAGATGCCGAAGGAGAAGGACTACCCATCTGCGTGGCTGCTAGCAAGGTCGACGGGTTGATCTTGTCTCTGACACCGAACTCCCATAGCTACAACTATCGATCTGCGATCCTTCAAGGCTATGCTAAGTTAGTCACTGACGAAGCCGAGAAGCTCTACGCCATGGAGCTAATCACCAACTCGGTACTCTCGGATCGCTGGGCGCATACGCGTGTTCCACCAGACCGCGCTGAGATGTCCTCGACGGTTATCCTTAAGGTCAAAATCATGAGCGGCAGTGGTAAGATTCGAGATGGTAGCGTCTCGGATGAGAAGAAAGATACAGGCAGTGAAGAGATCACGAATCGAGTTTGGACTGGTGTTGTCCCTGTTTGGGAGACGTTTGGCGAGCCTATTCCTAGTACGGGGAACAAGGTTCCTGAAGTACCAAGCTATGTGAAGTCATTTGTTGCTGCGAAGAACGAGGGAAATCGTGCTTATGCGGAGAAGGCTGTGGGGATTGAGCTGCCACAAGAAGAGCAACATTGATTGTTGAAAGGAATAATGTGCGGGTGGTATACTTATAATTCTCTGGCATTTTCTGCTTCATATAGTTAACTTCTGCTACTCTATTGTGGGGAGAAAGTATAAATCGCCCAGCTTTGGACCCTGCGGGGTATTGTAGCCTTGCTGCTGTGCCATTGCCACCTTTGATCTGCACAACGCAGGGATGGTACTAATATATATAATCCGTTTGTCCAGTATCTGGGTTCTTAGTAAACACAAGAAGATATATTGATTAGTTAAACTTATTGTTTTGGTTCACTTGACGAAATAATTATACAAAGTATAAGGCACGATTGCATAGTTTCAAGGCGACCCCACGTCATCGGTACCATTAGCGTAAGGCCGACTCCGCAGAACTTCAACTTAGCTACAACTTCTCCAAATGACTGACTCGACACACAGCCGCTCCCTTCAGAGGGAAACAGACATTCTTTCCCACAAATACACACCAGATTAACACTGCGATAACACATGATTATCCTATATCGAGTGCCGTGCCCAGTCTAGAGTCTCTCTTCGATATCTAGCCCGCCATGGCTCCTCCGGCTATCCCCGCAGCAGACCTCAGCTCATTCACCACCTACCTGAAAGGCTGCAGGCGAGTAATTGCGTTACTAGGAGCCGGTATTTCTGCATCATCAGGTCTTCCCACTTTTCGAGGAGCCGGTGGTCTATGGCGATCCTACGACGCGACAGACCTCGCAACGCCCGAGGCGTTCGATGCCAACCCAGACTTAGTATGGCAGTTTTACAGTTATCGGAGGCACATGGCCCTAAAGGCACAGCCCAATCGTGCGCATCATGCTCTGGCTGAGCTTGCCCGAAAGAACAAGGACTTCATCACATTGAGCCAGAACGTGGATGGTGAGTTGTACTCGTGTCCTTGCCCTGAAGTGGCACTTCACTAATCAGTTGCTTGATATACTCAGGTCTTTCGCAACGAGCTAGGCACCCGCCGCATCAACTTCACCTTCTTCATGGCTCCCTCTTCACAGTGAAATGCACGTCTTTCTATTGCAGCTACTCCCGCGAAGACTTCACCGACCCAATTGTCCCCGCTCTCGCTTTGCCAAAGAAGCTAGAACCATCCGCAACAGATAAAACGGGCGAAGAGGCTTCTCGATCCGTTTCTAGTGCACTAGGGAACAATGAGGATGTGGAGCCGGATGTGTCGGACGAGCGTGTTCCTCTTTCCGCAGTGCCTTACGAAGAGCTCCCCCACTGCCCGGAGTGCAAAGACGGGCTTCTACGCCCTGGGGTGGTGTGGTTCGGAGAGAGTCTACCATTACATACAATTGATTATGTGGACGACTGGTTGAACAAAGGAAATGTTGACTTGATACTGGTGGTAGGTACGAGTTCGAGGGTATACCCTGCGGCAGGATATGTGGATAAGGCTCGCAGTAGAGGAGCTCGAGTGGCAGTGGTAAATATGGACCGCAACGATGTTGGCTCTTCCGGGTTGAAGCCTGGAGATTGGTTTTTTGAGGGCGATGCAGGTATTATTGTCCCGGAGATTTTGAAGGGGGTGATTGGCGATATATAATCATCTTTGCTACTATTTCTTCTATAGGTGAACAGAGTATAGAGAAATCCGAAATATCTTATAATAGCTTCAGATACCTGTTACTGCGCAGATCTGGAAGGGCTAGTAACATATAAGGAGTAATGTTACAAATAGCTCAGCATTAGTAGTGTTATGTTTGACGAAGAATGTGTATTCATGGCAGCGGGAAGGAATACAAACAGGCAACCTCAGTTAGTTAATCGCTACTGTGACTCAGACTTCCTGCCTGAGCTAACTAAATCGGACTGCGGACCTAGATCAATAATTCCCGCACATAAGCTTCAGGATGAATCCAATGTAATTCGTGGAGGTGGATTCGTACTTGCTGTGTGTACCTGAAGCTGTTGTGTGACCTGTCACCCCGCTGGGTGGGCGGTGGTTGCTGGGGCAATGCGGCCAAACCGAGCGATAGCGCTATCGATAAAATGTGGCATGCCAGCGCTAAACAGAGCCGATCTCCGTCAACACGTCCAAAGCCCCTCCCACTACTCCGGATTTCGCCCTTCCTAGCCTCTTTTGCAATGTCATGACCTGATTCAAGTAGGTAGGCATCTCACATCCCCTCTATCCTTCCATACGGAGATAAATATCGATAGCGAGAGTCTCGTTGCAACCCCGCGTTACGTGATGTGCTGACATTCTGCCTCCCCCACAAGAACAGAAAAGATCTTACTCGCCATATTTACGATAGACTCACTATATCTATGCAACCTAGATCTCGATAATACAGCCTCTGATACCCCCCCACTGTGTCCCTCGGCACACGACGATTAGCCGCCACCATCTAGCTTCAGCAGGAAGTTCACCAGAATAATACGCCATGGCCAAAGAAAGTGACGCCCCTGCGGACCCCTTCACGCCTAGAAGGCCGCAAGAACAACCCCATCGTCCTATGTCACACCATCCTGAGTTCGGAAAGCCATCTCCTATTCGCCCAGTGCATCATCAGAGTCACCACTCTAGCAACCCCTTCAACATCCCCAAACCGAACCACCAACGTCCGGAGCACCACAGACAACAGCCTCGGCCTCAAAATCCTGCCCACAATGGTGCCCCGCAATACCGTCCCCCCACTACTCCGGGACCTAATAACTTCTCAACCCCCAGAAGGGAAGGGTTTGACCCATTCAAGCCCGTTAGACCGTCCGCGTACAACAACAACCGCTTCTCCCGCCCGGTCGACAGTGGAGCTGTTGAGATTCGACGCCCAGAGAACTTCACGTTCAATACACCCCGTGCCCCTAAGACATTCTTCGCCTCGAAGCCCTCTGCCGTTAAGATGACGAACGCATCGAAGAACCTGAGGAACTTTGTCGACTTGACTGGTGAGGGTGGTTTTACGCCAAGTGCGCGATCTCGAGGCCCGGGATTTGGCTCTATGGATGTCAACGGTTATGTGGATACGGCCAAGGCGAATGAGAATATCAAGGCTCTGTTGGAGGGTGCTTTTGAGGATGAAGAGGAGAAGGAACCCAAGTCGAAGAGCAAGAAGAAGAAGGACAAGAAGAATAAGAAGAAGAAGAACAAGGAAAAGAAGCAAGAGAAGTCCGAGAAGAAGTCCCAGGAGAAGGAGTCGGACGCCGACATTGATGATCTTGCTGCCCAGTTGGGAACTGTAACTGTACAGGAATCCAATACTGCGGATGAGAGCACTGATGAATCGGAAACCGAGTCCAACAAGTCCCCTGTAAAGCAGAAGGTCAAGGAAGTCGTGGAAGTCAAGGAGGTGGCAGGGAAAGATGTTAGTGAAGTTGAATCGGAGAATGAGGAAGATGACGATGAAGAGGAAGAAGAAGAGGAGGAAGAGGAAGATGATGGGACAGTGGAAGGCTTGAAGGTCAAGTTACTGCCTCATCAGCGGGAAGGAGTCAATTGGATGTGCGACAAAGAGACTGGCCGGAAGAAGACCAAGGGAGTGCTTCCCAAGGGTGGAATATTGGCAGACGACATGGGTCTCGGTAAAACTGTTCAAGCTATTGCTCTGATGCTATCCAACAGAAAGCCCGCCGATGGTCTCAGGCGGCCCTTGGCTGATGACGAGGACGATGATGCGAGCAGTGACGATGAAGAAGAGAAAGAAAACCGCAAACTACCGGCTGGACTGAGCAAGACGACTCTGGTCGTCGCTCCCCTAGCCCTGATCAAGCAGTGGGAGTCTGAGATCAGCGATAAGGTTGAACACTCGCACAGAATGCGGGTTCTGGTATACCACGGAAACGCACGGACTAAGGGCACGGATAAGCTTGAGGATTATGATGTGGTTATTACCACGTATGGTACCTTGACCTCGGAGCATGGTGCTAAGGATAAGAACAACAAGAAATCTCCCATCTTCTCTGTCTACTGGTACCGGATCATTCTGGACGAAGCCCACACAATCAAGAACCGCAACGCGAAAGCAACACAAGCTGCCTACTCTTTGGATGCAGAGTACCGCTGGTGCCTTTCGGGAACGCCAATGCAGAACAACCTTGACGAACTGCAGAGCTTGATCAAATTCCTACGTATCAAGCCGTTCAATGACCTGGCGGCATGGAAAGAGCAAATTATGAAGCCAATAGCGAACGGCCGTGGAGGTCTAGCCATTGAGCGTTTGCAGATCTATCTCAAGATCTTCATGAAGCGGCGCACGAAGGATATTCTGAAGCAGAATGACAACCTCAAGCCTGGCAAGGATGGGGAGAAGAAGTCATCTGGCTTCCACATCGTCAAGCGAGAGGTTATCAAGGTCGAAGCGGACTTTATGCCTGGTGAGATGAACTTCTACCAGCGCCTAGAGCAGAGAACAGAAAACAGTCTCGAGAAGATGATGGGCGGTGAGAAGGTTGACTATGCTGGCGCTTTGGTGTTGCTGTTGCGTCTTCGGCAATCTTGCAATCACCCCGACCTTGTTAAGAGCGACCTTGCTCAGGATAAGGACGTTCTCCTGCAAAACGGACAGTCCGGCAGCCAGAAACCCGCCAAAAATGATGAGCTGGACAGCATGGCAGACCTTTTTGGGGCACTGAGTGTTGTGTCCAAGAAGTGTGATATATGCCAAATGGATTTGAAGAAAGAGGAGGCATCTGGCGGTAATAGCAGGTGTAAAGAGTGCGAGGTCGCGTTGAATGCCGACCTGACTAATACCGGCAAGAAGAAGAAGAGCGGTCGGAGGTCGATTATTGATCTAACAGAATCACCATCGGCCCACCGCGGAGAGCCGCAGGTCATCCGGCGGAGAAACAGACGAGTAGTACTAGACAGCGATGATGAAGATGAGGACGATGGCGAGTGGCTTGTTCCAGAAGATCAGCGCGGAAAGTCGAGCCTTGGAACAGCTGGAGGCACCGATGATGAAGACGCAGAAGGCGGTGGTGAATGGCTGAACTCGGACGATTCTGACAGTGACGACGATGGGCCTGAGTCTCCCTCTCGCAAGCCAACGGGCATCAGTCGCCGTAGCCCCGAGGTGGAGTCTGACGATGACGACATTTATGCCGGAGACGATGATAACAAGATCTTGCCTTCGACGAAAATCCGACGCCTTATGAAGATTCTCAGGCGCGAGTCGTCAGACCACAAGTTCATCGTCTTCTCGGTCTTCACCTCCATGCTTGATAAGATCGAGCCATTCCTGAAGCGCACCGGAATTGGATACGCACGATATGACGGAGGCATGCGGAACGACCATAGAGAAGCCAGTCTCAACAAGCTGCGGAATAATAGTGGCACTAGGGTTCTCCTCTGCAGTTTACGCGCTGGTGCATTGGGACTGAACCTGACTGCCGCAAGTCGTGTGGTTATTCTAGAGCCCTTCTGGAATCCTGTAAGTTTACCACTGTCCCTCGAAAATACACATGCTAATCCCTTCTAGTTCGTTGAAGAGCAGGCCATTGACCGAGTCCATCGTCTGAATCAGACAGTAGACGTCAAGATCTACAAGATGATCATCAAGGGTACCGTGGAGGAACGAATTATCGATCTGCAAGATCGCAAGCGCGAGCTGGCCAACGTGACCATAGAAGGCAAGACCGCAGCGGCCAAGCTGACGATGAAGGATATGATGGCTCTATTTGGCAAGGACGCCGAAGCGCGTTACAACGGCGACCCCGATCTCGACCTGAACCAGACAACGAAACTGTTGAATTCTGGCGCTGACAGCGTCTCGGGCTCAACATACGCCAGTGAGACGCAGACCTCTGGCTCTCGTGATCGAAGCCGTCAACAGGCGAAACGTAATTCTCGCGGTGAAGACTCGGTGTATGGTAGACGGTGGTAGCATGGATTATCGGTGTAGCATGATTCGGAATGAGTACAATTGGGCGTTAGGCTGGGAGGACAAGCTATCAGGGACATTGTTCTAATTTCGGGGTTTACTACTTCACAGATGTATAGGGCTTTCGGGCGTCTAGAATTCATATGATCTCTATCACGTTAAGTGTTAGCTGCCGGGTTGTCTACCGCATTGAGATATGAAAACGATATGCAGTAAGCTTGACCTAGATTGTAGATATCTACACCACAGTGCCTTGTGTCTGCCAACACTTCAACGAAACACAGCATACTTCCAAAGAATCCACAACACCACCCATACACTCCCTAATCCACTAAACCCCACTATAAAAGCCCTTCTAACCCCCCAATCCTCTCCACAACCTCCCCCTCCGCCCCCTCCCTCGCCCCTGCCCGTGCCCCCTCACTCATCCTCCCCACAATAAACTCCGCAGCCAAATGAAACGGACACACGCACTGCTCCAGCCCACGCCACTGACACAGCACCCCAATTCCACCGATATCACTAGGCCGCGCCACCCCCCGCTCCGCCAAACAAGCATTAAACGTCTTCCCGATCCACCATAGCTCACCAGGAACATTCTCACCACTAAAGTCCCCAGAAAGAAGAGCCTGCGATAGCTTCCCCTCCGTCGGATCCTCCCCGTAAGGACCCATTACATTACCGCCTAGATCCTGAAGCGAGACGAGGAACTCGTGAGCGGGATGGGCAATGCAGGCGAAGTCGAAGTCGATGAGGGCGGTGAGTTTGCAGGTGGTGGGGTCGATGAGGATGTTGTTCATTGCTTGTTGGATATCATGTTAGTTAGTATCTTAATGGGTAGATGGGGTGGTCTGTGGAGTGGGAGGAATACTGAGGTCACCGTGGATGAGAACTCTGGTATCAGGGTCCGAAAGAAGGCCAGAGAGGGAGAATTTGTCGATGAGGGAGTCGAGGCGGTCTCGGATTCCATTTCCATTGCTTCGCCATCCGTTAATGATAGGGCTGGAATCAGCATCGTGCAGCTCGTGCCGTAGGCGTGCCCTGAGGAGCTCTTCATATGTAGACCACGGTCCTCCATTCGTGGTGGTCATCTCCGCACTGATGATTCCGCCGTCGGTTGATAGAGCGAGTCCACCGTAGGTGATTCCCTCCGGGAGAGGACATTTCCGGAGTCCGGCGAGTATATCTGCGACCTGCTCGATGATTGATTCCTTGATTGTCGTGGACTGAGAAGGGAAGAACTCGTCCAGTGGTACACCGGACTTGTATTCCATTAGTGTCCAGGGTAGGTCATCTGGATGAGTAGGTTTCGAGCAGAAGGTATATATTCTGGGGATGAGAGAGCCTAATCCGGGACGATGTGATTCGAGTCCTTGACGGGCGAGAGACATGGCGGCGAGTTCGTTCTCGATGCGGGAGACGTGTGGGTTGATGCCCATTGCTAGGGGGTTGCTCATTCGGAGGATGTAGGTGGTTGTTGTTCCGTCTGGAGGGGAGGTGGTGTGGGGGTTTGGGGCGTCATTTGGGGTGTGGAGTGAGGTGCTTGAAGGGGGTTGGGATAGTTCGAGCTTGTAGATGAAGTTGTTGTAGGGACAGGGGCCGAGTTCTTGGTATGCTACCGGGGTGATCGTGGTGATTTGGAGGGAGTGGTGGTGCGCGATGCGCTTGATCTGCTCGAGGCGCGTGTGGTAGGTTTGGTGGTTGATGTCGGACATTGTGGGGGTTGGTGATTTTGGTGATGGTTGGTTGGGATGGGATGTGCTGTGCTGGTTGGGATAGTGATATTCTAACTGGGTTATCTATAGACGTAGTTTTATGGATGCTCTAAGAGCAATGGGGGATATTGGCATTGTCTGCTTATCTTTGCGCCAGTCTTTCGCATATAGAAATGCCAGGGATATAGGGTTAGCTCCGCCGGAGTCCGATATCACTACAGACACAAGAGTAGTTATTGGTCTGGATGCCAAAGAACATGATGATTAAAGGGAAATGTTATCTCGATGGCTCGGAACTCATTATACATTCGAGGCTAGCTGACTGCCCTGGAGCTTGACAGAATGTTAGAGATGATAAGCTCAAAAATATGGGGACGCTAAAGGATCAACGCCACAACCAAGTATCGGAATTCGCCATTACGCTTGGTTTCCCCTCATTACATTGTCACTGTCAGTTGAAGTATGAGTTTGATGTCATTTTTCCATATTCACTCTCGCAGATCAAACTTCATTCAACATTGACCTCACATATTACCGGCTGCCTGATTCTTCCTCATCGTCACGCTAAATTCTCACCTCCAATCCTTCTATATACGCCCACGTGATTCAACCTCACTACTGCTGCCTGAACAGCATACATAAAAAACCCAGAAAGCGATCATCGTTCACTTTCCAGCTTCAATGCCTTAATCTATAATAACCATCATGGATTTTCAACCCAAACTCATCATCCTCCTGCTCGCCGCCCTAGTATTTGCCAGCGAATTCTTCCGACGCTATCTCAAGCGCCGCCAATTCGCCCGCCAGCATGGATGCCAACCAGTCGCACGATCCTTCAGCAAAGACCCCTTCCTAGGCCTCGACACCATCCTGGGCACAATGCGCACAAGGAAAGAGCACCGTATCCTCGAGCGAGGCTGCAATCTATTCCGCACACTCGGCAACACATTCACCGTCAAAGAACTAGGCCGTAGTGCCATCGTCACCATCGAGCCCGAAAACATTAAGACAGTCCTGTCCCTCAACTTCAACGACTATAGTCTCAAGCACCGCTACGAGGCAATGAAGCCTCTTCTCGGCGAAGGCATTTTCAATACGGATGGTCACCATTGGGCCACCTCTCGCGCGCTTATCAGGCCGAGCTTCGCCCGCGAGCAGGTGACTGATCTGCGTTTGCTAGAAGAGTTGATCCAGGATCTATTCGCGTCGCTTCCAAGAGATGGGAGCACGGTGGACCTGCAGGAACTATTCTTCCGGTATACGATTGACTCCGCGACAGAGTTCCTGTTCGGACAGTCGGTGGGCGCGTTGAAAGAGGGTCACTCGGAGGCTGGGTTCGCGGAGGCGTTTCATTATGCTCAGATGGCGATCCCGATGCGGGGAATGCTGGGTCCGCTTGGTGTCATCTTTTGTGATCGGAAGGCTGAGGAGTGTAATCGCATTTGTCGAGACTTTGTGCAAAGGTTTGTTGATGAGGCGGTCTATACGGCTGCGACGAGGAAAGAAGATGAATCGCCGGAGACGAAGCGGAGGTATATTTTCTCGCATGAGCTGGCGTCACGGACTTCTGATAAGCAGCGCATTCTGGACGAGTTGATGAATGTGCTTCTAGCGGGGCGAGACACGACGGCCAGTCTTCTTGGGAATATGTTCTTCGTGCTGGCGAAGAACCCAGCTATTTGGGCGAAATTGCGCGCGGAAGTTGAAACGCTGCAGAACCGGCCACCGACGTATGAGGAGCTGCGCGGTCTGAAGTATGTTCAGTGCTGCGTTAATGAATGTATGTATACCCATTACCTCTCTATTATGCTGGATGTCACTGACTTGAACTAATAGCTCTGCGCCTTCACCCCGTCGTCCCACGCAACGAACGCGAAGCAGAGAAAGATACAGTCCTCCCTGTGGGCGGAGGCAAAGACGGCCTTTCCCCTGTCTTCGTCTCCAAAGGAACGATCGTCGCCTACAACGTCTACGCCATGCATCGTCGACCGGACATCTACGGTCCAGATGCAGAGGTATTTCGCCCTGAACGCTGGGAGGATGGGAAGCTGCAGCCGCGCTGGGGCTATTTGCCGTTCAATGGCGGACCACGGATCTGTATTGGTCAGCGCTATGCCTTGACGGAGGTCAGCTATGTTCTTGTGCGGATGGTGCAGGAGTTCCGCGGCCTGGAGAGTCGGGACCCTGGACCATGGGTGGAGGGATTGGGGTTGACGCTCTGTTCGAGGAATGGGGCGAGGGTTGGGCTGATTCCATGACATAGACATTGATCTAACTGGATAGTAATAAGATGAGATATGCAGTAAGAAGACGCATGCAGGTTCCGCGTCTGAAGAGGAATAGATCTGGCCCCATAGTCACGGTGCTTATCGCCGTCTTACTCTAAACTCCTCGTTGATGTGCATCTACTTTAGCGAAGCATAAATCTAGCTTTACTGATAGTAATAGAAACTAATATGACTGCAACGATATAAATTAGCGCTTATGCCGGACGTTAGCGTATTTCTCCCCACTCCTCATTGTGGTAGACCAATCGCACTAAATTCTGACACCTCGCAGAATATGAGGGGTTAGCTAGACAACTGGCAGGCCATACGATCAACGAGGGAGAGGCGTGGAGATTAGGTCTTAGCACGTTCCGTTCAGTATGCCCCTGGCTGTGATGATCTCCCATCGACAACAGAGAGAACCGTCACCGATGCTTACCTCAACAACGCTACTTGAAACTGATGCATGTGTCGCTAAAACCGGGTAGATCGGAAGAGGGGAGAAAGATGTAACCATGTAAGCCTCTCCTCGTTTATCATAGATTGGGTGCTAACTAGCTAGTCTGACTAGCCAGTGGCTCATTGGCCAGTTAGTGTGTGTCCTGCGGCATGGTACATTGACCTAATTTAGCGCTTGACGGCCACTTCAATTCCCCTCCATTGTGAATCTACCAGTCAATGGTAAGTCAATGTAACACACCCAATACTAATGATGACTGCATTAATTTGATCACAGGATAACGGAGACATTGGCATGTCTGTAATATTTTGGTATACTATGCTGGCTGCCTGGATGTCATCTCGCCCCGTCGGCCCTCTCCGCCCACAGCCTCCCCCGCCTGCCCTAAATCTGTCAGGCCCACTTAGATTGGACGCTCGGGGACATCCTTAGTTCATCCTTAGCGATGGACAGATAACCGAACAGAAGGGAAAAGTACGGAGCACTCGGAGCTAAGCTAGCTTCCTGAAGTGTTTATCCGCGGAGTCTAGGTTGCTTGGGAGTGTCCGTTCCAGTTGGCCC